TTAACCTGCTGGCTGAAGGCTGTTAAAAACATGGTGGGAATGGTAAGTCTTCCACCCCAAAGTAACATCTCATTCCTGGCCATCATTGCTTACCGATGGCGATGACTGTGATGAGCAGGAGGAGTCCCATGGCGATCAGGACGCCAGTGACCAGCAGCTGTGAATGGACCGCGTCGTCTGAAAGGGAGGGTGGGGCATGTTTTGATTGGAGAATTCGCACGTCACGTTACGGTGGTGAGGAATGAGGCCACGCGGAGGCCGAGGGGAGGAGGAGACGGGCTGGCCAGCGAACTCACCGTCAGGGAGGGTGCGGAAGGACGTGGCAGGACCGAAGATTCCGTAGCCAGCCATAGTGCGGGCACGGACCTGCACCTCGTACTGGGTCCCCCGGCGCAAGTCGCTCAGCACCACCTGGGCCACGTCGCTCTCCTTGTACCTCCAGGCCTCATCCTCATTACACCTTTCCTGGTGGGGGGGGAAGGGTGGTGCCTGAGGTTAAAAGGAACAATGGAGCAGTCAATGAAAATCACTGTGGGTGTGGCTTACCGTAGCCCCGCCCCGACCCCTCACCTTCTCGCAGTAGCGGAGCTGGTACTGCAGGATGGTGTAGTGGGACATCCTGGGGACGGGCCAGTGCAGGGTTAGGCTGCTCTCGGTGGCTCTGCTCCTCGTGATGCCGGACACGAGCACGGGCACTGCGGGGGCGGGGTAGGGGGGCAGCGCACAGACACACAAACGCTCAGCACCCGGCTTCCAGAACCCTTTTTACTATGCTTTGGTTTGTACGTCGCTGGATGCAAAATCGGGTCCATGTAGCGGCAATTCAGGTCAAAAACAGGACACGCACAAGAGGGACTTGAACCCACAACCTTCCGTGCCTGGTGTGATAACACACCACCTGTTTATCCCGCTCCCCCGCAGCACTGTGCCCCGCCCCTGTCCCCCTCACCATTGTGGCTGGTGGTGATATTAACACTGTCGCTGGCAGGCTCCCGTCCGCTGTGCTGCGACACGCCGTTGAGCGCTTGCACGGAGAAGGCGTAGGTAGTGTGTGGCTGTAGACCCCAGATGACGGCGCGCCGAGCCGCCAGACCGCGCTGCGCCGGCCGGTAGCTGACGCTGTCCCCACAGGGGACGCACTTCCCCGAGGGGCCCGAGCAGCGCAGGCAATGCAGCGCGTAGTTCAGGTCCCTGCGGCCGCCGTTGTCCAGGGGCTCGCTCCACTCCAGCGTCACCGACGTGTCGTTGATCTGTGTCATGATGTTACGCGGTGCCGAGGGAGGGGCTGCCAGGGGGAGGAGAGAGAGGAGGCACAGCACGTGAGATCACCGGGCTCGGATGTTGGACCCTAGAGCGCCCCGGCTCAGATCGCTCGCACGAGCGCGGACTGTTTTTTCGGTGCAGCAGGTAAGCGTATGGGTACGGGCCCAAGACCGCCACGGGCGAGCGGACCCCACGACCTCCAAATCACATGACCGGCTCGTTAGCATGCGCGCCATCTGCCGTCCCCCCGGCGGCTGGCACGGTGAGGACTTTGCACGCTGCCCGCCATCCCCGTGACTGCCCTGTAGGGGGCACCCTCTCTATAACCAGCCCGCAGTCTTTCAGCCTGGCTTGCTGCCACATAACATACCCATACGGCCCCCTCCTGCCAGACCACCACTGAACAGAGCTGCTACTTTTCATATAGCTTCAGGGCTGATTAACAATCCCCCCCCCCCCCCCC